CGCTCTCATCTATAAACCCGGTCATTTACTCTGTTGGTCCTTTGCAACTGATGACGAATCACATTCAGAATGAAAAGCACACATTAACCAGCTTGAGCCTGTGGAAGGAAGATTTAGAATGTATTAAATGGCTGGACAAACAAGAACCAAATTCAGTAGTATATGTGAATTTTGGGAGCATCACAGTGGTAACAGCACAGCAGCTAACAGAATTTGCATGGGGACTTGCCAATAGTAATAAGTCATTTTTGTGGGCAATCAGGCCTGATTTAGTTGCCGATGATTCAGCAATGTTGCCACCAGAATTTGTGACAGAGACGGAAGATAGAAGCATGTTGATTAGCTGGTGCCCGCAAGAAGAAGTTCTGAAACACCCAGCAGTCGGAGGGTTCTTGACACACAGCGGGTGGAATTCGACCATAGAAAGTATAGTAGCTGGAGTGCCTGTCATTTGCTGGCCTTTCTTTGCTGAGCAACAAACAAATTGCAGGTATAGTTGTGTGGAATGGGGTATGGGAATGGAAATAGACAATAATGTGAAGCGAGACGAGGTGGAGGAGCTTGTGAAAGAACTTATGGACGGTGAGAAAGGGAAGAAAATGAAGGAGAAGGTTTTGGAGTGGAGAAAGAAAGCAGAAGAGGCAACTGCACCCGTTGGCTTATCCTTTATGAATTTTGAAGAACTAGTTAAGCTTCTACAAAATTTCAAATTTGTCAGTTGTTGTTAAGCATATGTATAATATATTTTATTAGTTTCCAAGACATTTGAAACAATTCATGTAATCTTGTATGAATATTTTTGAGGCTCCTGCTACTTTTGCCAGGATGAATTAAAGTTAGCATCAGATCTGCTGTTCCAAAGGAATTTATTATGTTTTGAGTCCAAATTTGACACTGCGATTCATTGTTCAATGCATAATAACCTACACGCGATCATCTTTCTTAACCGCTTGCCTACTTGAGATTTGAGTTACACTAGAAATATGTTATTCAACTATTAATAGGAAAAGAATTACAAGAAACTGTTGTATCCATATGCCATAAACACTACTCATTGTCCTTGTTATTAATTTTACATATAAAGAACAATTTTCAACCACCACAAGACATTGTCGTCCCCAGTGCCAACTTAGAAATGGCCTCAAAGCTTCAGGGGGTTCAGCTGATTGATTGGAGACTTAATTAGTAGGTTCTCCTTCCCGAAGGAATAAAATTGAATTCCAGTGCATCTTCCTTAGATCGCATTTTATTTAGGACAATGCCCACCCAGAAGCCATTGATGGCCCCCATTCTCATTCCCCTTCTCATTTTTTTTCTCTTATTTTTAACCATACAATTTTTCACAAAATAATATTACATACAAATCAAAAAATTTTCATTCTTTCAACCACACATTTTTCAAAAAAATACTATTCCAACCATTAAAATTTGACAAGAAGGGGGGGCCTAACCGGGGCTTAATTGCGAGGTCAATTTTTGACAATTTTCATGGTTTCTTCAAAAATATTATTTCAAATATAAATACATGATTTGTATAATATTCAAAGTAGACAAACATAAACTTTAAGAAATGCAGTTTTTTTAAAGAAAAAAGAAAAAATAATGCATATATTTGCAATATATTAATAAAAAATATTCGATAAGTGACGGTGAATATATAAATTTATGGTTAAACCCTAAATTCGAAAAATCTATTACGTTATCTACTTTTCCATTAATGTAGCCAATGCATCTAATGAATAATCAATTACCATTAGGATAGAGTAGTTTGTTGGGTATTGATACCCAATAAATCCTAACAGTGATGTTAAAATGGGTTGGATTAATTACATTGACACCACAATTGGTTGGTTCGAACCGAAAACAAATTGGGCCACCTGACGTAGTTACTAGGGCTAGCCTGATATTTTGGGGACTTTATGCAAACTTCAAATATGGAGCTCTTATATTTTGAGTCTTTTTACAAAGAGTTTTAATATAATTATGAAGAATCTAATTCAGACAACTAAGCCCCAAAATTTGAAGAGAAAAATAACAAAATGTCAAGCTT